ACGCCAGTACAGCGCAGACGAACTGTGGGTGCGGAAGAACGACATGCATGCTTTCGCATTCACAACTCATAAGAAGTGGTTAGGTGTCCTGGGAATTCCTTTGTATTACCGATTTAGGGCAGGACGAGGTATACAAGTGAGCAGTTTAACAATTTAAGGGGTTGACAATGATAAAGAGAATGATAAGTAACCTGCTTTCGTACGGCAGCAGGCGCTTAAGACCTTTTAATTGCCAATAGGGGTTTCACATATGGAATCCACTCTGGTACGCACTCCTCTGCCTTATGTACTTCATCTAGCAAGACATCCAAGCTTCCGCGGAAGTGTTCACTAGCCTCGCGTGCATTAATATCGGCATGGCGCGTAGCCACCCGAGACTCCCAAACACTGTGCAGGCCCAGTAACATAAACATATTAAAGGGTACTCCGTCTTCATTTTAGACAGGAAGGTAGCTGACCCTGTGCCCTCTTCACAGAAAGTCCTTTTTCAAAGTGCGTTGGGAGACGTCCGATAGGAAGACGCGGTCCAGAAAAACGTGCTCGATATTTTCAGTTTTTTTAGCATAAAAAACAGTGGTCACCCATGGGACGAACACCCCTTAGCCGCTATCCCCGTCTCTACTGTTAATAGGGAATTGTAGTAGATCGTTTTTCTCCTCCGCTACGGTATCCCCGAAGAAAACGTCGCAGCTGCGCATGCGCGCTGCCAGCCTTCTCTGCATAGTTCAAGGTCATGTGGCGGATTAGGGAGCGCTATCCGGGTGCTTAGCGGGCTACGGGAACGGTCTACTACAGTTCCCTGTTGTACCGGTGTATAATTAAAAGAAAATAATGTCTTAACACCCGGCGGAACCCGTGGGCTTTTAACCCGCTATAAGACGTCTTAGTCTCAGCCTGCAGAATACACGGCTCTATACAAAGGAATGGGAAAAACCACATCGAAAAGATATCTATACAGGTTTCTGCGTCATGCGTGGCTTAGTTATTCAGAGGAGCACCGAGTTGTCAAAAATGGACATTAGGCAACAACTTCTTTCATAAAACCCTGAACACAACCAGGCTCAATTGACGAGGGAACAAGGATCTCGGGCAAGTGCTACTTAATCTCACACATGAAACGATGCATAAAAAAGGATCAGTGGTGTCGCAAAAAAAGAAAACACTTCACTATTTGGTGCAAAAATAAATGTGACAGTCCTATAGTCCGCCGTCGAAGACGCGGCGAAACATGGTCATACGGCTTGTACAACGCTCTTATGTCGAGCTCCAAATTAAAGCGAAAAATAACGCGATGAAATATGTGCACATTTACTTCTGAACAGTGAAAAACTTGTAGCACGTACCACAATTTGTTAAGAAAAAATGAAAGACGCGTTTACAAATCTCTGTAATGCGGAATTAGAGCGCAGACCTTGAGGAGGAGGAGGAGAGAAGGGTGCGGAGGGGAGGGTATGCCCCTCCTCGTCTCTACGTACCCTCTTCTCCTCCTCCTCTCCTTCTCATCCTCCTCTCCTCCTCCTCTTCTATCCTAGCTCATCCCCTCCTCCACGTCCCTCCTCTACTTCTGTACCCTCCCCTCCTCTTCCGTACCCTGCCGTCGTCCTCTTGCATACCCTTCCCTCTTCCCACAGTTTCCCTGCTAAATTTAGCTGGAAACAGTTCCCCCACTAAATTTAGCCGTGAAAATGACGTCACATGACCTCAACACCAATTCAGTTTCCCCACTAAATTTAGCGGAGAAAATGAGGTCCCATGACTTCGTGTCCCGTCACCCATGAACAAATTCAGTTTCTTCGCTAGATTTAGCGGGAAAATTGACGTCACGTGACATCAACGCCAATTCAGTTTCCCGCTAAATTCAGCGGGGCGGTTACGCCGACGACGACGCCGCTGTACGCGGAAGCGGGCGCCTAGGAGCTGGGCTCTAAAAACAAATTGTATGTGGCAAGGACGAAGATCGACAAATCCCAAGCTTTGATATTCTCTGCTTTCTCGCGGAGCTCTGCGGCCTGTACACGGCAGTAGGGTTCGCTGTCCGCGTAATTCTCAAGTGAAACCCCCATATATTATACATAACTCGATAATCTCTATTAATTTTCAGAAACGCATGGTGTTGAATGCCCATTACCGTGTCAAAGGCAGAAAGATGTGTCCCTATTGACAGCGTTTCCACTAAAAGAGCACAAACATATAAAGGTGTTCACCATTTCATCGATGCGTTTTTGATTTACACAGAACGTAGCAATCAATGCCTTTCCCGCAAGCTAATATGGGTAAATTGGAAGAATGAACTTTTGAACCACTGGTGGCATTTTTTCTAAGGATGCTAAAACAAAAAAGACTATATAAATACAAGAATGTAGGGGTGGAAGGAGGGAACCCTGACGCATGGAACCTTGACTTTTAATGCGAAAGCATTAACTGTACCATGGAACGAAGCCGGCGTTGTCTGTAACCGTCTGCAGCAGCGAACCGGCAGTTGAATTCCCATTGTCTAGCGAAACGGCAGTTAAATTCTCATTGGTGACAAGCAGAGCAACGCAGATGCTTCGTCAGGGTAGCCGAGGGGCCGCTCGAGGTGAAAGCGGACGCGCCTCAGAAATAAAAACTTAAAGAAAAGCACAGCAACGCAGATGCATCGTCACGAAAGCCGTGGAGCCCGCGGGGTTTGCTGCCCCTGCGCAGTGGGCCGTGGCAGTGGGGGAGCGTGATTTCACCGCCAGAGCCCTGTGTGAAAAAAAAAGAAGACGTGGCGCGCTGCTTGTAGGAATGCGCGCTGCTTGTTGGAATGTCTTAAGCGTCCCCTTTAGTCTTTTATACGTTTTCAAACCGACTTATTGACCATAAGGTTGGTCAATCAACCACCGTCGCCCTGTAGAGGACTCCTGCATGTATAAGAGAGCCGACCTTTAATTGGTCGAAAACCTATAAAAGAACATCATGGGCTACCCAATCGAAAGCGTTTCGAGTTTTAAATTTGCGCCCGTATTTATTACGTCGCAACGGTCCAGCACGCTCTGCGCTTTTTAAATGTTTCTGAAGAGAGTTCTCCTTTTTGTTCCACACGTTTGGTAGCGAATGGCAGGTTCTGTCATTACTAACTGTCGACTTCTAGTCAGTGTGTTTAATGCGTTAGCATTATTAAGCTAGTCATCGTTGATTTTTTAGTCTTCAATGTAGTAGACGGGGAGGGAGTCAATACAGATTTTCGCTAAGTTAAGCGAAAAAATTGACTTGGCGTGACCTATGCACCAAGGCAGTTCCCTCGCTAAATTTAGCGGGATCCTGAACTGCCCCAGAAGTTGCCTCCAGGGCAACCTCTAAGGCTCTAGGCCCCAGAGCTTGTCCTTGAGGTCGTCCTAGACGTCTTCCTCGACGTCGTTCTAGACGTCGTCCTTGAGGTCGTCTTAGACGTCATTCTTATGGCCTATTCGTCTGGGGCACTCCGCACCCGTCCAGTGCAGTAAACTCTTTCCACTTTAGTACAAGGAAAACTGGCGGGGAGAGAATGAAGCTCCCCTCTCCCTTCTAGCCTTCCGTGTACCACGAACCGCGCTGCACCGGTGCGATGCGGGCCCAGACGAATTGGCCATCAATGCCGTCCTCTAGGACGTCGTCCTCGATGTCTTCCTTGTCGCTCTCCATGGCTTCGTAACAAAAGGAGGTACCTATGACGAATGCTAGCTATTACTATTCATAGACAACCAAAAATAGTGGCTTCTGAATTTTAGAGCGCAGCTCTTAGGCGCCCGTTTCCGGCTTGAGCGGCGTCGGCGTCGCTGTCGGCGTCGCTGTCAGCGTCGCTGTCTTCGTCGCTGTCGGCGTCGGCGTCGGCGTCGCCGTCGGCGTAACCGTAAGGTCACGTGACCCCCCCAGCAGTAGGAGGGAGGTGGAGGAGGAGGGGGAGGAGAGAGGAGGAGGAGGGGAGGAGTAGCAGGCAGGATCACGAGGGAGGAGGAGGGAGGAGGGGTATACCTTCCCCTCAGTACCCTTCACTCCTCCTCAAGAGCTGCGCTCCGATTCGGCGTTGCAGGAAGTTGTAAACGGCTTTAATTTTTTTTATGAACATCTTCTAACCAACATTTATTAGGAAGGCGCTCTTCGTTTTAAGGATTGGGACAGTGTCTGACGTCAAAAAAGATGGCGAAAAAACGTTAAGTTCATAGGTCCGTTAAAAACATCACATAAAAATGGAGCGATCTTATTCTTCAAGTCTTTATAGAATGCTACACCTAGGCCGTCGGGACATGTTACTTGCCTTGGTTAAAGACCTCGGTCGCTATTTTAACGTCGTTTACCGCACTGGGCTACTATATATAGTAGCCCAGTGGGGGGCTAAAAAAAAGGATGGGTCAATGATTTTTTTCATTTCAATGCGAAAGTGCCGGCGCCTGGGACAGGCCTTGATCGAAAATAATAAATAGAATATAAAATTAATTAGCAGATACAAATAGAATGTCTAAAACAACCAAAATAAACAAATACATCATGAAATAAAAAATAGAGACAAATCAAATAGGTATAAAAATTAGTAAATAATACAAAACTAAATTAAAAATAAATCATTAATGAAATTATTAAGTAATGAGGGAAATATAGGATCAAAATAGGATATTAAAGTAAAAACAAGTCAAAAGAAAGATGTAAAAAAACGAATAAGTAGGTAATCAAATATACACTGTAAACGACTTCATTTTTGCGAGGGCCTAATTTTCGCGAATGTCGGGAATCACCAAGAATCCGGGGAAAATAGGTCCCGCGAGCGTTTCCGGTAAAATGTAAACACATTAAAATCTATATTTAGATCCCACCGCGTCGCGAAAATTAGAACCCGCGAATTATTCCGAAATTTGAGCTTGGACCTAAAACGCGAAATATTGCGCCCGCGAAGAATAAGTCGTTTACATTATTGGCATTTGTCAGCCCGATCAAGCCTGTATACTTTATGTCATTGACTTATCTATTTTGTTTATGTGTTTTTTTGCATCACACCCAACCAGCGGCAACCAACCCCCTCCTATTCGACCTCGAGGAAAAGATTCAAGAGTACGTGGACGCACTGTCGGTGAAGCACGGCGTCAAGGTGTCCTGGTGGGACATGTACGGGAACAACTCGCAATTTAAGTGGTTCAAAGTCAGTACGAATCCGTAAGTCCACAACACGTCTACTGTGCATTTGATCGTTTATTTTATTTTCATTTTTAGCCTTACGTGCGTCTCTACTTCTTGAGGGAATTACGTGTTTCAGCACCTCGACGCTTATACTTTCTTTCACTGGGGGGCGACACTGCGTGAACGGACCAGCTCGCGCTGCAGAACCCTTTCGTACGTGTGCTCATAGACACAATAGAATTCCTTTTACAGCTCTTACGGGCTCTCATCTCCCACTCGAAATTATGTAGGGCGTAAGGGGCGTCCGTTGCGTGGACTCTCGGTGTCATGTCACGTAATGGTAACGGGTCACGTTATGAAGTCATGTGACGTCACGTCACTCCTCCACGCATAACCGTAATGTCACGTTACGTCACTCAAACACGCGCAGCAGGTTCCTAGCTTACTGGCAACATAATACAACCGACTTTAAGGCTGAGGCTGGAGTTGGCGTCCATTGCGTTCATCTTTAAAGGTATGCATATGACGGGTTTGAGCGGCAGATGGAAGTAAAACGGCTATTTTCGGAGACTGACATCGCCAGTGTCACTCTTCGAGTAAAGATAGGCGATGGCTTTTCGACGTAAGGTGCCGACAGTCGGAGAAGAAGCGGAGCGCAAAAGATGGACTTGCCGCTACAGCGGGAGAATATCGGGCTTAGTTATACGTGGGATTCCGTGTTTTTGGAGTTTATTTTTTCTCACATTTGGAGGGCTTTTTTAGAGCGCAGCTCTTAGGGGCCCGTTCCCGGCTTGAGCGGCGTCGCCGTCGCCGTCGGCGTCGGCGTAACCAAGGTCATCCCAAGGTCACTTGACCCCCAAGGTCATCCCAAGGTCACGTGACCCCTCCCCAAGGGTCACCGGGGGTCACGTGACTCCCCAAGGTCACCCCAAGGTCACGTGACACCCAAAGTCACGTGGCTCCCCAAGTCACGTGACCCCCGGGGTCACGTGACCCCCGATGACGTCATCAGTGACGTCACTGATAACGTCACCGGCATCCGCATCGTCATCGTCATCATCACTGATGACGTCACCGGCATCCGCATCATCATTGTCATCATCGCTGATGACGTCATCAGTGACGTCACTGATGACGTCACCGGCATCCGCATCGTCATCGTCATCATCACTGATGACGTCACCGGCATTCGCATTGTCATTGTCATCATCGCTGATGACGTCATCAGTTACGTCACTGATGACGTCACCGGCATCCGCATCGTCATCATCACTGATGACGTCACCGGCATCCGCATCGTCATCAGTGATGACGTCACCGGCATTCGCATCGTCATCGTCATCATCGCTGATGACGTCATCAGTGACGTCACTGATGACGTCACCGGCATCCGCATCGTCATCGTCATCATCACTGATGACGTCACCGGCATTCGCATTGTCATCGTCATCATCGCTGATGACGTCATCAGTGACGTCCCTGATGACGTCACCGGCATCCGCATCGTCATCGTCATCATCGCTGATGACGTCATCAGTGACGTCACTGATGACGTCACCGGCATCCGCATCGTCATCGTCATCAACACTGATGACGTCACCGGCATCCGCATCGTCATTGTCATCATCACTGATGACGTCATCAGTGACGTCACCGGCATCCGCATCGTCATCGTCATCGTCACTGATGACATCACCGGCATTCGCATCGTCATCGTCATCATCGCTGATGACGCCATCAGTGACGTCACTGATGACGTCACCGGCATCCGCATCGTCATCGTCATCATCGCTAATGACGTCATCAGTGACGTCACTGATGACGTTACCGGCATCCGCATCGTCATCGTCATCATCACCGATGACGTCATCGGTATCCGCATCGTCATCGTTACTGATGATGTCATCAGCATCGTCATTGTCACGTGACCCCCTAGGTCACGTGACCCCCACCCAAGGTCACTTGATCCCCCCCAGTACACTTCCCTACTCCTCCTCAAGAGCTGCGCTCTAATTCGGCGTTACAGGGAGTTGTAAACGGCTTTCACTTCTTTTCAGTCTGTTTTTTACGGAAATTTGGAGTTTGCCTGAGTTTGTTTGTTCCGTTTGTTTGATTCCCAATTTGCCGGAATTCGGAGTTTAGTTTCGCGGTGCTTTCTATTAAAAATAAGTACGCAAATAATATCCGGGTGTGGATAAAATATAAAGCGCGCTTGTGTCAAATAATGTTTCTTCAGTTGTAATTAGTATTGCCATTGGCGATACTAATTTGTCCCGCAACAAATTTTGGACACAAGTGTTGCTTCGATATACGTCGATACTTTAAAATCAATTAATTCCTAAAGGTATACGCTGAGGAGGTCGTACGAATCCCATGCTATTCTACCAACCTACCCAGGGTAGGGCAGTATCGCGATACAAATGTATCGCTATGGTATTTTAGGAATGCATTTTGCAATTATATTGTCGCATTGCGATACAATATTTCACCAGTACTTTGTATTTCTGTATTGAAATACATTTTTGAGCGTACTCCTGTTATCGCGATACCATCAGGGTTGGATGTATCTCGATTCTCGTTGCATATTTCAATACGTCGTTTATTTATTTTGAGCTCAAAAAAGTAAAAGATGAAAGTTTACAGTGTGCACTCGTTTGTTTATTAACAAATATCCCCAAATTAATGTAGAGCATGTTTCTTTCTTTGTTCCTCATATCCACTAGGGGGTGCATGCAACGGGTCCTACGGATTATAAGCACATCTGAAAGCATATTTTTGACAAAATCTAGACTGTACTGATAAACCGAGAAGTAGCTCAGCTAAGAACAAGAGCAAATCAGTTGAAAATATTGAATGGACTAACTTTCGGCGCGCAATCGAGAAAAGCTTTAAAAATAATTAGACTATGTGCTCCAACTTGTTATCGCGACGTGGGGTAATGAAGCAAAGACGACTCAACCTCCCATTCAGCAATGTTTGCTCATATCCTGCCACAAACAACTGGGCGCATAAACGCCGAGACCGTCATTCATTTGAACACTATGACTAAAAATGGACTATCGTTCCGAGTTAAAACAAAAGAAAAAGAAAACTAAGTTAAAACAAGGCGTGGGATGTCTTTCAGAGGTGGGTCATCTCTCCGGATATTACGGTACCTGCATCTCTGCAAAATATATTCTTGTATTTGTGTTGTCAATTGCATTTTATTTCTTTCTAATGTATTTCCGATACGTATCGCAATACCTGTTTATAAATTTATTTCAGTATCAGCATTTCAGGTGACTTTGCCAAATATCCAACTATTTGTCTTTCAAAATACTTTTGGTGTATTTCCGCCCAACCCTGAACCTATACCCCACCGCCGCGCGAGGTGGAGTAGTGTAAAGTGTAATAGAGAAGTTTCAACCGCCCCTTTTCCCCACTTTATGCAACCTCTATGGTCCAGAACAGGCACTCTCACAAAAACTCAACCTCTCGTTCCTCTAAAGCACAATTAGTATGGCCCAAACTGGAAACCAAAACAGTGCATTTTGTCTTGTCCCAAATGAACGTTGACGAGATGAGCGGCTAGATCCCTTTCGATAAGGGTCCGAGGTTTGAAAGGTAACTGTGGTTCCATTTTCGCGGGACAATTGAGCTTGTGCGGTGATCAAGCTTAATTGTGAAATATTGTATTTTTTTCCCGGCATCCGCATATAAATATTAGGAGTTTATCGGATAAACCAGAATTTTACCGGCGCGTGTTCTTTTGAGTTTTGGGGATTTATCCGAAAGCACGGAACTTTAGTTTTACGTCAGTGAAAGAATGCATTAGGGTTGGATGAGGCGTCTGCGCCTGTAAGGTGGATTCACCCAGGACTGATCTTTTTACCTGAAACGGCTCCGCTAGATCGCTCGTCAAACAAATTAATCGTCAAATTCGAGCTAAAAATTAACTTCTGTGCCCCTTTCGCCTATTTTCCATAAATGGAAAGGACTCGCACCCACTCCCTTCAGAAAAATAATTGTTAAAATACCTAAGCTCAGACTGGGTGAGATGATTTTGAAATAACCAAAAGTAGAAGAGACAGGGAATGACTGACTTCATTCCCTGTCTCTTCTTCCTTTGGTTATTTCAAGATTCTTTCACCCAGTCTCATATGGTTTAACAAAATGGTAAACTTACACAAGCTCCTCTTCGCCCTCACCGTGTTTTCCTAAGAACAAGTTTGTTAGGCTTTATTCGAATGTTGCAAACGCACCCACAAAATCAAGTCAGACTTTGCAAGATGCGAAGACGCTCAGGGGAGCAGGCTAAGAAACATCATAATCTAAACCACGAGAGAGAGGAAATAAAATATCGGTCAAGACGTCACTAAATCTGGAATGTTAGTGTCGTCTTGTCCGTTATTTTCATTCTTCGGTGTCTCGGGGTTTAAATTATGACAAATCAGACACCCTATTGAAAATTCCATCAAGGTACGTAATTTGGGACACTGACTGCCAGTCAGCAGCCTTGGTGGAACGTGATGGACCATCAGACGTCATCTGATGGTCCATCAGATGACGTCTCACTGCCACCGCCAAGTGAATTTCATCAACAAGGGCATTATTTATATAAGAGTAAAGCTATACGCACTCATAAATATCGCCAAATGCCTTGATAAAACAAAATGTTAAAAAAAAAGAAAAAAAAAAGCAGGATTACCGCGCATCGAACCCGCGACCACTTGCGTACAAGTCGGGCACCTTAAGCCATGCCACCGCTTTGGAAACTCGATTTGACTATTCGTTTTATACGAGATGCTTCGGCTGCAAATGCAGTTAAGCCGTCAGCATGTTATGCAAAGCACTCGTACATCACTCGCCGTACTTCAGTTCTACTCACCTGCCATGTAGAGTACTTTCGCGTCGTAGAACGATCCTTTTGTTCGCGCGTCACCGGCCCAGTAGACCTGGTACACCTTGACGTCTTCAACTACACCGCTAAAGTCCCTTACATCGTCGGAACTCACAACAGGCTGGGTCTTGTCGAGTAGAAATTCTACTAAAACATAAGACGTTGTAGAGCCCGGGCAGGATCGACAGGTTGGAGCAAGCGGGCAAACAAAACGAGTCGAGAGCGATCGTTCATGAAAGCTCGGCGAAGTCTCTACGGCCGAAGCGAAGTGTCGTGTTCGGCGCTTCGGCGGGCTTCTGATCAAGGTTGTCGGTCGGTTGCGTGTCATATCTCTAACGTCAGCGGTTTTATGGGCTCACGTCCCGAAATCGTTTTCTCGTGCATAGATTACTTTTCGTATTCATAGATTTGACGAAATAGTGGTATCCGAACGAACTTTACGTCCTTTGACCGTACGTCTGTCTGCACGTCAAAGCTTTTTGACGTACAGTCAGAGACAATCGATGTACAGTCAGAATCGCCACCAAGACATCCTGATGGCATTTCGCGGCGGCCGACTGCCACCAGGAAACCATCAGAAAGCCGACAAGCGGAGTGTGACTGGAGTTTGACTGTCGGTCAGAGTAACTTGTTGGCCTATCAGACATGCTTGACGTACAGTCAGGCACAGTCAGCGGTCCACTAGAAAACATTGACTGCCAAACAGGGTTACATTGATGGATTTTTCCTTCGGCAGTGACCATTACGCGGCGCGTATAATTGTTAAGACATTAGTGTTCTTAATTTAAGACCACGCAGACCGAATTTAAAGTAAACACTTAAATCCCTTAAACGATTTGCAAAAGTTTCATTCTCACGGAAGTTAACTAAGGCAAAACATTTCAGGTTTCCCGTTTTTCCAGTAGAGTCCCAAGCATTAGCTGGTGTCAAGCGGTGGCTGCCGGTGTTGTCGCTTGACCCCAGCAAGACAAGTCTCGATTCCCAGTCCAGCCTACTACAATACAAATCAGTGTTGGATGCTGGATGGATGCCAACAACTCTACCCTTTGTATCGTGCGGTAGCTTGTCCCACCTAGCCTGGAAACTGATAAACCAAAAGTATGACTCCGCCCTTCGCTCTTCTAAGCCAATTTGCTCCCAACTGCAATTCCGTAACTCTCGCCAGGTGGCTGTCCATCTGAAAGAAAAATGTTGCCAGACGTTTCTTTCTTGCTCGTGCTAATATATATATATATATATATATATATATATATATATATATACAGGTGAAGTAAGGTAATACTTCTTCGATAGACCCTCCGCAGTACGGAAACCGGTGGCCATTGTTAAATAATCTAGGTGAAGTAAACTAAGGTGTATATATATATATATATATATATATATATATAGGGTGCTTCAGAGAACTCAGGCCAAATCGCTCCTGCGAAAACTACTCATCGCAACGAAAAAAGGCTTCTGGCGTTTTCGTCCTGGACCAGGGGCCCATTTAGGAAAATTATTAAAGTTCAAGATAATTAAGTTGTAAATTATTTTTGCGTAATTAACCTTTTTAATATTGAGTTTAAGGGCATGGTTTAAAATAGGAAATTGCTCAGCATCATCGAAAAACACTGAATCAACAAATTGCAGAACGATAGAAGGCACCCGAAGCATTTTACGGGTTTTTGAAAAACCGCACAAAATCGACGGGTTTTTAAGTTTCGGTTTGCTACCGGAGCGTATCTCAGCACCGGCGGCACTGCGCCCCGTGGAGAGATAGTGCTACCAGCCTCTGCTGCGTCACGCGATGACAGCGCAGCAGAGGTTGGTTCCACTATCTCTCCACGGGGCGCGGTGCCTCCGGGGCTGAGATGCGCTCCGATAGGAAAACAAAACTTAAAAACTTGTCGATTTTGTGCGGTTTTTCAGAAAGCCGTAAAATGCTTCGCGTGCCTTCTATCGTTCTGCAATTTATTGATTTAGTGTTTTTCGATGATGCTGAGCAATTTTCAAATGTAAACCATGGCCTTCAACACAATATTAAAAAAGTTAATTAAGCAAAAATAATTAACAACTTAATTTTCCCGGGCTTTAATAATTTTCCTAAATGGGCCCCTGACCCAGGACCAAAACGCCACAAGCCTTTTTTCGTTGTGATGAGTACTTTTCGCAGGAGCGATTGGGCCTGCGTTGTCTGAAACACCCTGTATATATATATATATATATATATATATATATATATATATTTAATTTTGCATTGAGGAAAATGCCTCACAGCTGATTTACTTGAATATTTCAAGGCGGAGTCTCTCCTGAATTTTTACTCCGATCGAACGTTCTCACCAGGCCGTCTGGCAAGCTTATTTAAACCTGGCTCGGTGCCCTCTCGCAGGAACAAGATCGTCGTCCAGGCCGGTCCCATCAAGTTCGGTGAGGCGAAGATCAAGTCACTCCAACCGAAGGTGATCTACACAAATTGGGTCCACAACGAACAGCCCGACACCTCAACGACGACCAGAGTGAAGAGGTCCACGCTGCACAACACCACCCACACGCACAGCACTAAGAAGGCCTTCAACTGCGGTTTTAAGTTATCCGTCGAGGCCAAACTGAATGGATCTGCGGGCAGCATCAGCGCCAGCGTTTCCACAAATTTTGATCTGACAAGGCTCAACAGCGAATCTCACACCGAGACCGAGAAGTACACGGTCAAGCAGGCCGTCGATGTGCCCCCGCTGAGGTCCGCGAAGATCGAGTGGGTCGTCACCGATGTTGTCAGAGTGAGTGAACAAACTTCGATAGTTGTCGATAGTCTCCGGTTACGCTCGCCTCTGCTAGATCTCACTATAGTCGCTGACGGATTGAGAGCAGCAGGGCGTCCCTTTCGGATCCATGATCCCCAGCAGAGATGTCGTCGCCCTCCGCAGTGACTTGGCCGCGCGTGCGCCATTGAGGTTCATGAGATGCCGAAACGTCTTCAAAAGAGGATCGCGTTGGGGGCAGAACAACTTAAAGACCCTCCGTGCCATTCTCATTTTCTCAGTACATATGGTCAATCGATCCTAGTGGCGGATTTAGAATAATAAATAATCTGACAACCAAGTAAAAAAATAGAGAGAAATAGAGAGAAACACCTGGGAGGTGCAAGAACAGTGCCATGTACTGTGCAGCCCCCCATTTTGAAAATATTTATAGGTTTCTATATGCAAATGATAGCATAAAAGGGCGTCTTACATATACAACTGAGAACATTTATTTCACAAAATCCGCCCATTTCTCGCAGTTCGCATGGGGTCTGTGCATGATTCGCTTAAACTTGTTTTCTAAACACGAGTGGCACAAAGCAGGCCACAGGCGTAAACAAGCGACGTTGTTCGTTTGTTTTATATTTAGCATGGGAGGCCGTTTCGAAAACAAGTAACGCAGCGAAAGTGTACTGTCTCCTGCACGAGTCAGGGAAGCAAACCTTAACCTTAAACCCCGACTCCTGAAAAAAAAAAGAATTGCTGACGTTGTGTCCAGCTGATTGTATTGGGAGGTGTGCAGCAGCTGCTTCGTGCCCTATATATCGGCTGTTACTAAACATTCACAAGCTTTAGAAAACGCATGTTTATTAACCTGCCGCATATGCTTTTATCGGGTTCTCGACAAACGAAGGTACATTAATTTGTAAGTCATCAAAGTCCACCTGGAATAACGACGAGAACAATTCATGGAAATGCCAAACGAGGAATGCGACTTAGGATGACATTTGCTGTACGACCAAAAAGACCAGAAAAGAACACCTTACAAATCTTGTTCTTTGCTCAAGTTAAGGGTATTAGGGTTGATCTATTATATCCGAAGTTTTCTCTACTGATTTGCTGATGAGATGTATTTCAAGTATAAATATTTGAAATACGTGTTTAAAATATATATATATATATATTTTTTTTTGTATTTGGTATTTACATTTGGGGGAGTGCTTTTGAAATTTTTATTTAAATATTAAAAATTTAGTAAATAAAAACGTCCCAAACAAAATTTTGGGCTCGGTTCTTTGCAATCAAAAACGGTATTTGACACTCTTACAAATAAAATTCAAATCCAGAAAAAAAAATATATATATATATATAACTGTTCATAATAAACAGAAATGACAGAAATAATAGAGCGAGAAATGAACGGGATTGGTAAAATTACTGGATTTAGTTTGTCAGACGTCGCATAACGACATATGTTGTTTGAAGAGGCTTCAATGCTTTAATGAGCCTTTGATACTAAACTGATACTGAATAGTTCATTGTGTTTACTGACGTATCCACCCATCTGACAACGAACAAATTTTATTTGGAGCTACGCTCTTTAGGTGTATCGAAATTGCTATGTTTAAACCTATTTTTTTGTTTTAATTTGGCGCAATCTTATTTTTTACCTGGGGGTATATTTAAGGCTAAAATTTTATCTATTGGAACAGCATGCATTTGCAAAAGTATATCAAGATAATCAAATACCTGTATTTGTATCTTGCATTTAATTACCTTTCAAAAAAGTGTGATCATATCTGTATTTCGACATGCTTTTTGCCGAAGCATTTTGAATTTATATTTTAAGACATTTTTAAAAGTATTTTGCCCACATGTGTAGGTACGTATATCAAACATAAGAAATGCAGTATCATTAGTGTTTAGTAAAATCTAGATAATTAAATTGTTTCGAAGTCCCCGTAAGATTACTTCTGCAAAAACGACCGTAATTTGAAAGTTGAGAGATGTTTTGCCCAGTCGGTGGGTTTGAACCCCGGTCGAGAAGCCAGCAGTCTGACCGAGGCTTGTCGTGGATGATACGCCGTGTAACCGTGTTTTTGGTTACGCGACGAAAGAAGGTGGTCGATATTAACCTTCAATTCTTTGTTGGGAGGAGCCAGATGCCCTTCGTTGTTTCGGCACTTAAATACCCTATACTTGACTCAAAGAAACATTAGCAAGAATTGGATGGTGGCGATTGTCCAAAAGTCCCGTTTTCGCTTCAAGTAGGACAATTATTAAATAATTAGGTCCATAAAAAATTAAAAAAACTCGCTTCTAACTTCGTCCTTTACATAATCTTCAACTGCTTGTTAAAAGCTTGGCGAAGCTAGCCTCGAGTTAATCTTAACATTACTTCGTATCTAGTGGGACTGCGGCACTGGTCAATAAGAATGCCGGGACTAATCACCAAAGAAAAAGCGGAATCATGATAAGCCTGGCCCTGCGTTCCTGAAGCTCTCAGCGGCTAAAATAGATAATGTCTTCTTCTTACAGGAAATTCCCTGGACAGCGGACATCAGAGTTGGGGGCTCGTTTGCGGTTTGTTTTGAGACGAAAGTTAAGGGCGCGTACCTGTTTTTTTACCGCGTGAGCAACCTGCGGGATCCGCTACTGAAGCGCGTCGGACGAGGAGTGCTGCAGTTCACCGCCAGCGGATCCTTCTCGAGCGTCTACGGTGCCGAAGCTCACCTCAGAGTGTCCCAGTACGCGCTGATGGACAAGGACGGGGAACCCCTGGAAATTACCAACCGCACGCTACCTTTGAGTGAGCGCCAATCAAAGGTTGGCGCTTTTCAATAAATTCTTCTATTTTGTGAAACGTTGGCGATCTTGATTTGATTTGTAGCACTCTCGTGTGTCAAAAAAGTAAGATGTTCATTCAAGAAATAGAACGCGTATGTAGACATGCAGTCACGAAGTGGCATGCCGCTTGCTGATAGGAGGTACGAAGCGGCACGGGGTTAGAGCGGTGCATGACGTCCACTATTTACAACTGTTTTATATATTCAAATTAGGCATGGAAAAACAAAATAGTTAGTAATGCAGCCAGGTTTGCACTGAAGAGTCGGGAAGAATTCGGGCTTTCTCAGGTCTTGGAAACTTAGTAGGGCTTCGTCGTAGCCTTGAGCTCCTTCTGAGCCCCGGCTGTGCTTTCGCTCGAATAATAATATTAGTAATAATAATAAATTTATTCAGCAAATGAGGCAAATATGGCACTCGCGTGTTCGATGTAATGGCTGTCCGTCGTCGGTGCGAATGAAATGGAAACGTGGGGTACAAAAGCTCGACCTACTACAGCGCCTGTAGCCCACGTGCGCGAGTCGGTTTCGTACACAAACACCGGGGCTATGTTAGAAATCTTACCCAAATAACCTGTCTCCTACGTCAGAAAGTTATATCACGTGACATCGAGAGTAAACAATCCGCGACTCAATTTTGGAACGGCCGGGACAGTCACCTGGATACTACGCGGATTGGCTTCGTCTTGGGCTACGGAAAAAAAAAAAAAACACAACAGCGATGGCAGAAAATAGCAGGTGATCCTTTTTGATCATAGAAGAAACACTCGAAGAGACGATGATATTATTGACGACGCGGTGTTTTCTGAGGTGGATCCACCAGCTCCTTCTACTTCTCACCTTCTTTTTGAGCTGTATATTGATATCAAAATTACGTACTCCTTACAGTTATAGACATTAAAAAAATGTTTTTTATAAATCAGCCCGATGGCTATAAATTGAGTACTATTTAGAAAACCTAAATGCATATTTTTCATGGATTGTAATTTGCACCGACTACGTTTTGCAGAAATTGCTTCCACACGGTGTAGCGCTACAGCGCAGGGGGCTTTCTCAAAAGTGATATGTAACTAACGTTCGCTTAAACGCGAATAGGATTACAGGATCACAAAGAGGAGGGAGATGAGGAGGGTTTGTTGACTGGTGATACAGATGAAATCTTCGAAGCATTAACTGCTTTAGAAGCGTTCTCCTCTCATTACACACACTCTGGGGAAAACAAAAATACTACCTCGTCATTTACTGCGTTCGAACAATTTCAGCCTTGAACGTGAGAATACAGCATTCATTTCAATGCCGAGGACGAGGATGCGAACAAGCTCCTGTTTACTCTCGCACTCTGATAATAACAAGTATACCTTCCTGGGAAAGGTGCACCGTCTGGATGCAATACAGTCAATTCCTGCGTTGAAAACAGCAGATCGCAATAATCACACATAAATCGCTGTACCTCATTCTTTGTCATTGCGAACGTCCGCCAAAAAAGCCAAGGAAGCAAACGAACAGACCGCGTGACGTATTTACTCGATTTGATCCGACGTTACCCCCCGATCGAGAATGGTAATTACTTCGGAGTAATTAACCTTCTGCAGTGAATAAGTTTTGAAAAGCCACGGTACGAAACCTAAACTCCGGAGTTAGATCGAGTAAATTTTGGAGCACAGCCCGGGTAGCTTGCTTTAAGTCCGGCAGTGGTCTAGCATACCTCCTGTAGTACGTGCGCTGTTGCTTTCTGATCTCCAGGAGTCGGGCTTATACCTCTTTGGGCGGAACGGTGCTGGGCATCAAGCGCCTTGTTGGCAACGCAAATGCCTGCCTTCTCATAAATCTCGGCACCCAAGACATGGAGCGGTCGTCCCCTGGGCTATTTCTGTATTTCATCAAATTACAGGTACACTCCATAGACTTGAAGGAAATTTCGTTAAGCAGTTCCTAGCTTCTTTCACAGCGCGCTCGGCCCTCCCATTTGGACTTGGATAGTACTGGCTGGAAGTTACATGAGTGACGAAGTGCTTCCTGACGAGGTCTCTGAAATGTTGGTAGCTGTAAGGTGATCCGTTGTCGCTGCACAACATTACTTCAGTCGGTTTCAAGTCAGAGGCCTGACTTAAAAAATTCAGCCTAATCTAGTAACTCTTGTCCATTGTAGTAAAATAGGTCACTTCCCTTAATTTGGGACGGCAAACTGGAGAAATCGCGGTTAAAAATAGTCCACATAATTGTCTTGAAGTTTTAGGAAGAAGCACTGCACTTCGCCAACTTGTCATTGTAACAATTGATGAAGTTAAAATACGCAGGCGAGCTGGTAAATTAACTCCAAAATGAAAAAAAAAACCTGGAGCCTTGGAATAGATAAAATAACGGACAAGCACTCACACCATTAATTATTCCTGGTGCAGGTCTATAGTCATGTTCGTCGCTGGTTTCATCGTTACTATTGGTACCAAGCCAATACGTGACGTTTCCACCTCTTGTTTTCATCCGTTCGGCGATTCCATATAAGGCGTGTGAATTAGCCAATACCTACCGTGTTTTTTTCTGGAATGATTAGCTTTCTACTTTTGAAAACAAGCCCTTTTGTACATGCGGTATGTTACAAGAATGTCGGTAGCTGTGAAGTGCTTTGGGGCACGGAGCTTTTCCCTTGAAGGCCATGCGTTGTTTGCGAGCTGCCGGAGTTGTACCATCGCCGGATCCTTTTCCGTCCCTGCGCAATGGCCACAAGCCGCTGTTTAGAAACAGGCACATGACCAATAACATTCACGTGGAAATGTTCTTACTCTTCTCGAAGTAGGGCTTTGCCTTGAAACCGTGACATTGGATTCCTAAGGAAGACTTGTTTTCCTTGGCTGCGACAGGAAACCTACACTTAGAAACGCGTTCGAATTGAGTTTTTCTTTTTCTTTTCTCGGAACATCGCGACGGGATATACGAGCCTCGCGTCTTTTTGGAATTGGAAAATGCAGTGGTTATCGATGGATGCCCGGCTTTGTACTTTAAGGGGACTGATGGCCTATCAAGCTGTTCGGACAGCTTTTATTCTCTGCTCCCACCATATTTACGTGGTAAATAAAATTGTTATCATTATGTTAAGTTTCTAACTGATACCATGCCTATATATCTAATAACAAAAGTAATTAATTACTCCCAAATAATTAATAACTTTATTATTATGAACTATACATTACTTTTTTCAAATAGGCCTCTCGGCAAGGACCAAAAGGACATCGACATTTATTAGTAGTTCCCACAGCAATGAATTTGTTCTCACAGCAATACCTGCAACATATTCAATGGGCGCGTATTGCTACTTGGCTTTTGTGAGGGAACGCCGCGAATATGCTACTGGCTGTAATTTTTTTTTAAATCGCTGCTTCTACACCAATTTGAATGGCGTCTACCGACAGCGTGACCAGTTGCTCTTTTATAAATATGCCAGTACTGGCTTCATTTTGTGCGACTAGCGCAAAGTTTTGACAGTCGTTTGTTGGCGTTCAATTCAAACTACGGCGGCATCCTTTCTTAGCAACTTCCGCAACGGAGTTGTACTTGTTAACATGTTTGGTATGAATCACGCCACGAAATTAACAATTCTTAGAAAAATTCGCAGATGATTACTGTATTTTGGTTCTGGTATTTTTTGAAGTTTTTAACAGTCTAAGCTGAGCCCTTCTATGGTAAGGACATGTTAAAGGTACCGGATATGTTCCTGCAAATACTGGCACTTCCTCTTGTTGAGTTTCAGGCCGCTGTCTCGGCAGCGCTCAGAACTGTTCGCAAATTTTTGTCGTACTCCTTCGTGGTTTGTGCCCACACCAGAATGCCGGCCATGATGACAGGGATACCTTGAAGTTCATCTAACACTCTATGAATAGCCGTTTGAATGTTGTCTGGTGCAGTTGAGGTGCCAAAAGCCGTACGCAAAGAAACGCTTCCTGCCGTATGAAGTACTCCAGGTGCAAATGCGGAAAACTTCTTCCCCCAATTTGATTTGCAAAAATCCAGGCGTTGCGTCTAGCCTCGCTGAGGCTCGACGCAACGCCTTCAAAGTCAGTGTTGTATAATACTCTTTGAGGAGGGCTTTGTTTATGTCCGATGGATTCAGGCAAAATCTGGGGCCCCTGCGTGCGCGGGCAGATGCTCTTCGCTGTAGCAGATATACATATATATAACCGCAGAGATTGCGGGGCAAACTCCACTGCTAGAAAATGTGCAGCCACGTCGATGCCGTATGATGCATTCCAGGAGCAAACTTAAAATACCTTGACGCCACACACGGCAGTGGGGCTTTGGCCTTTAAAGTTTAGGTGCATCATTCTGCGTAGGTTGCGCTTGGTCGTTAAAGAGATTCACACCAGTTAAGGTTTTGGTCCTCCCGATGGTGTGCGAGGCAGGTTCCGCTCCGATGTTCTGGAGCGTGGTTGCACGTACGTCGCTGAGTGACGGGTCGACTCACTGCTTGTAGAGAACTATGTGCATTTATTTACTCTAGTTACAAGTCCCAACCTTGGAGACCATCCTGCCTCGCCTAGAGCCTCGACCCCCGTCCCCAATTTCTCTCAATCGAATTCCATCTAAAGATCAAAAGATCCTCCAAAATCCCCTCGACATCCCTTTTGTAGGCGCGCGTGGGCCTCCTTTCCCATCAGAGACCGAGCAATCTATTCGAATTCCACCACTCCCACGTGGTACACTATTCTCCAATGGTAGGAAAGCTGTCAGCCTGGCACTCCAACTGCCAAAACCAAATTCCTTCCAGAGTCGTCCCCTGCATTTTTCCCCGTCTGGCTGGCGCCAACAGCTAAATTATTACATAGGGCAAAAAGCGACAATTTGGCACTAAGCGGCGAAGCCCTCCATACACAGGCACACTCGGTTAACAGCCACAAGCATCTCCAAGAACGGGCTGTTCCAGGGATTTGTCCGAGCAGACTCCCGAAACCCGAGACGTTTCTTAACGACCGCGGAGGAACCGCTCCCACCTCTCGGCAGCTCTGCCCCCGGAAATGCTCCTTCCCAG